GCTTACCCCGGTCATCCACAATGAGCTTGTCCATGCCCCGAGGTCCCAGGGTAGTGCGCACGGCTTCTGCGATAACCTGGCAGGCATTGATGTTGCTGACGAGCTGGGGGATCCCCTGCGAGGTGTCCGTCCCCTCCTTCAGCAGAATAACCGGTGTTGGCTGAAGAGAGAACCCACAGCAGAGCCGTTACTCCAACCCCACCAGCCTGCGGACAACCCGGAGCCAACTCCTCACACAGCCCAGCAAGCTGCCACCACGCAAAAAGACCAAGACCAAAACCCAGAGCCTCCTTAAAACTCCTCTGCCTTCACATGACCTAACTGCTTTCCATCTCCCGCTGCGTAACTGGAATTCACCCAACTGTCTCCAGCACACACTCTGGGACCGTACCGTAACTGTCCCCAAAACAAGCGGGCTTCCTCCGTGCAGCGGAGTTCAGCGGAGTTCTGCTTTGGATGCCAGACCGGAGAAGACAGTACGTGCAATAATGACTGAGACAGCGGGGAACTGCACGACTGCTGCAACCGGAGCAGTAATTTTTTATTATCGCGCCAGCAAGGCGGTCAGCAGAACCTTCCCCGTCACACCTCACATCACGAGTCCAAGCTGCCCCAAGGACGGCGACTGCTGAAAGGTGCTTTCACAGAGGGGACGCGGTAAGAGGAACACAACTGAAGTGATTACACCCGCCTGACAGTAAACTGTGTTGGAGACGGCTCAGAGGGTATCAGAGGCCCCAACAGACAAGGGCTTCTCGCTGTGCTCTGAGAGCGCACCAGCCCTTTTCAGAAAGCAAACCAAACGTGCCCTACGGGCAAAGCTCTAGGTACAAACACAGCCAAAGTTTGCCAGGCACCCACTTTCAAACAACCACCTGCGGGCAGAGAGCAAAATTATCCTACGACTGTTGCGCTAACGAGCGGCAAAGCTGGTGGTGAGGGTCTGACGTGCGAGCACAAGAGGGGCGCGAGGATCGCAGCCAGGCCTCCCCCAGTCCTGGAAGGATCTCCTGGAAGAAAACGCACCGAGTTCTTCCACACCCACCAGAGCAGAGCTCTCAACGGAAAAGAAACCCTCGCGCCCCATTGCATTTCCCCTCCTGCACCCCGATTCAGGTGCATTTTCCCCCGGTGCACCCCGGCCCCATTGCATTTCCCCTCCTGCACCCCGATTCAGGTGCATTTTCCCCCGGTGCACCCCGGCCCCATTGCATTTCCCCTCCTGCACCCCGATTCAGGTGCATTTTCCCCCGGTGCACCCCGGCCCCATTGCATTTCCCCTCCTGCACCCCGATTCAGGTGCATTTTCCCCCGGTGCACCCCGGCCCCATTGCATTTCCCCTCCTGCACCCCGATTCAGGTGCATTTTCCCCCGGTGCACCCCGGCCCCATTGCATTTCCCCTCCTGCACCCCGATTCAGGTGCATTTTCCCCCGGTGCACCCCGGCCCCATTGCATTTCCCCTCCTGCACCCCGATTCAGGTGCATTTTCCCCCGGTGCACCCCGGCCCCATTGCATTTCCCCTCCTGCACCCCGATTCAGGTGCATTTTCCCCCGGTGCACCCCGGCCCCATTGCATTTCCCCTCCTGCACCCCGATTCAGGTGCATTTTCCCCCGGTGCACCCCGGCCCCATTGCATTTCCCCTCCTGCACCCCGATTCAGGTGCATTTTCCCCCGGTGCACCCCGGCCCCATTGCATTTCCCCTCCTGCACCCCGATTCAGGTGCATTTTCCCCCGGTGCACCCCGGCCCCATTGCATTTCCCCTCCTGCACCCCGATTCAGGTGCATTTTCCCCCGGTGCACCCCGGCCCCATTGCATTTCCCCTCCTGCACCCCGATTCAGGTGCATTTTCCCCCGGTGCACCCCGGCCCCATTGCATTTCCCCTCCTGCACCCCGATTCAGGTGCATTTTCCCCCGGTGCACCCCGGCCCCATTGCATTTCCCCTCCTGCACCCCGATTCAGGTGCATTTTCCCCCGGTGCACCCCGGCCCCATTGCATTTCCCCTCCTGCACCCCGATTCAGGTGCATTTTCCCCCGGTGCACCCCGGCCCCATTGCATTTCCCCTCCTGCACCCCGATTCAGGTGCATTTTCCCCCGGTGCACCCCGGCCCCATTGCATTTCCCCTCCTGCACCCCGATTCAGGTGCATTTTCCCCCGGTGCACCCCGGCCCCATTGCATTTCCCCTCCTGCACCCCGATTCAGGTGCATTTTCCCCCGGTGCACCCCGGCCCCATTGCATTTCCCCTCCTGCACCCCGATTCAGGTGCATTTTCCCCCGGTGCACCCCGGCCCCATTGCATTTCCCCTCCTGCACCCCGATTCAGGTGCATTTTCCCCCGGTGCACCCCGGCCCCATTGCATTTCCCCTCCTGCACCCCGATTCAGGTGCATTTTCCCCCGGTGCACCCCGGCCCCATTGCATTTCCCCTCCTGCACCCCGATTCAGGTGCATTTTCCCCCGGTGCACCCCGGCCCCATTGCATTTCCCCTCCTGCACCCCGATTCAGGTGCATTTTCCCCCGGTGCACCCCGGCCCCATTGCATTTCCCCTCCTGCACCCCGATTCAGGTGCATTTTCCCCCGGTGCACCCCGGCCCCATTGCATTTCCCCTCCTGCACCCCGATTCAGGTGCATTTTCCCCCGGTGCACCCCGGCCCCATTGCATTTCCCCTCCTGCACCCCGATTCAGGTGCATTTTCCCCCGGTGCACCCCGGCCCCATTGCATTTCCCCTCCTGCACCCCGATTCAGGTGCATTTTCCCCCGGTGCACCCCGGCCCCATTGCATTTCCCCTCCTGCACCCCGATTCAGGTGCATTTTCCCCCGGTGCACCCCGGCCCCATTGCATTTCCCCTCCTGCACCCCGATTCAGGTGCATTTTCCCCCGGTGCACCCCGGCCCCATTGCATTTCCCCTCCTGCACCCCGATTCAGGTGCATTTTCCCCCGGTGCACCCCGGCCCCATTGCATTTCCCCTCCTGCACCCCGATTCAGGTGCATTTTCCCCCGGTGCACCCCGGCCCCATTGCATTTCCCCTCCTGCACCCCGATTCAGGTGCATTTTCCCCCGGTGCACCCCGGCCCCATTGCATTTCCCCTCCTGCACCCCGATTCAGGTGCATTTTCCCCCGGTGCACCCCGGCCCCATTGCATTTCCCCTCCTGCACCCCGATTCAGGTGCATTTTCCCCCGGTGCACCCCGGCCCCATTGCATTTCCCCTCCTGCACCCCGATTCAGGTGCATTTTCCCCCGGTGCACCCCGGCCCCATTGCATTTCCCCTCCTGCACCCCGATTCAGGTGCATTTTCCCCCGGTGCACCCCGGCCCCATTGCATTTCCCCTCCTGCACCCCGATTCAGGTGCATTTTCCCCCGGTGCACCCCGGCCCCATTGCATTTCCCCTCCTGCACCCCGATTCAGGTGCATTTTCCCCCGGTGCACCCCGGCCCCATTGCATTTCCCCTCCTGCACCCCGATTCAGGTGCATTTTCCCCCGGTGCACCCCGGCCCCATTGCATTTCCCCTCCTGCACCCCGATTCAGGTGCATTTTCCCCCGGTGCACCCCGGCCCCATTGCATTTCCCCTCCTGCACCCCGATTCAGGTGCATTTTCCCCCGGTGCACCCCGGCCCCATTGCATTTCCCCTCCTGCACCCCGATTCAGGTGCATTTTCCCCCGGTGCACCCCGGCCCCATTGCATTTCCCCTCCTGCACCCCGATTCAGGTGCATTTTCCCCCGGTGCACCCCGGCCCCATTGCATTTCCCCTCCTGCACCCCGATTCAGGTGCATTTTCCCCCGGTGCACCCCGGCCCCATTGCATTTCCCCTCCTGCACCCCGATTCAGGTGCATTTTCCCCCGGTGCACCCCGGCCCCATTGCATTTCCCCTCCTGCACCCCGATTCAGGTGCATTTTCCCCCGGTGCACCCCGGCCCCATTGCATTTCCCCTCCTGCACCCCGATTCAGGTGCATTTTCCCCCGGTGCACCCCGGCCCCATTGCATTTCCCCTCCTGCACCCCGATTCAGGTGCATTTTCCCCCGGTGCACCCCGGCCCCATTGCATTTCCCCTCCTGCACCCCGATTCAGGTGCATTTTCCCCCGGTGCACCCCGGCCCCATTGCATTTCCCCTCCTGCACCCCGATTCAGGTGCATTTTCCCCCGGTGCACCCCGGCCCCATTGCATTTCCCCTCCTGCACCCCGATTCAGGTGCATTTTCCCCCGGTGCACCCCGGCCCCATTGCATTTCCCCTCCTGCACCCCGATTCAGGTGCATTTTCCCCCGGTGCACCCCGGCCCCATTGCATTTCCCCTCCTGCACCCCGATTCAGGTGCATTTTCCCCCGGTGCACCCCGGCCCCATTGCATTTCCCCTCCTGCACCCCGATTCAGGTGCATTTTCCCCCGGTGCACCCCGGCCCCATTGCATTTCCCCTCCTGCACCCCGATTCAGGTGCATTTTCCCCCGGTGCACCCCGGCCCCATTGCATTTCCCCTCCTGCACCTCGTTCTGGGTGCATTTCCCCTCCTGCACTGCGATCCGGGTGCGTTTCCCATCACCGCACCCCAGCCCCATTGCATTTCCCCTCCCGCCCCATAATCCGGCTGCATTTCCCCTTGGTGCACCCTGGCCCCATGGCATTTCCCCACCCAGCGCCGCGTCCCAGGTGCATTTCTTTTCAGGGTGCCTCAGTCCAAGCGCATTTCCCCTCTGTCACCCCTATCCCCTCCGTGGTCTGGCTTCATTTTCCCCTTCCCCTTGTGCACCCCAGTCCCGGTGCCTTTCCCCCGTCGTCTCTGTGCCCCTGGGTGCTGGGGCATCTCCCCTCGCAGCACCCCAGGCTGAACCCGGCATTTTGGCTCCTCGGGGCCCGGCCGGGAGCTGGCATTGCCAAAGGGTGTGTTCCCTTCAGCGTGGCGCAGTTCAGGAGCGGTAGCTGGGTTATTTTTCCTTTTTTCAGGAATTTTCCCTTCTGTTTTCTCTGCCTCTCACCTCTCTCCACGCACACCCAGGTTTACGCATCCATGAATACTTGTATTTCCAAGTGCTGAGCCCTGGAGACATCCGCTACATCTTCACCGCCACGCTGGCCAAGGATTTTGGTGGTGTGTTTGTAAGTATTAAGAACTGAATTTGTCTTGGGTCCCCCCCATCCTGAGATTTCTCCATTGCGGGGCCCGGTGATCTGAAGCCTTTTATGAAAATGGAGCTAACTGCTCTTCCGTGAGCCTTCCCTTAGGAAGGAGGCGCGTGCCGGTCCCTGCCTTCGGCCTCAGCAGGCTTTCGGAGGAGAAGTTTGGTCCCACGTGTGTTCAGGGAGCACGTGCCCCGCTCTTTCCTCCTCCAAGGGCTGAGGCAGGCACGGCCGTGTCCCAGGAGGGCTGGCCAGGCTCCCATGGGGAACGGCAGAGATAAACCGACTGGTCTACGGATGTGAGGCCTTTCCCTGAATAAACCCGGGGTCGGGATGGGGATGCAGGAGCAGATCTGCTAGGAAACACGTGGAACACCGAGGACCAGAGGAAAAGATGCTTTCTGGCCTTTCTGGCTCTGCATGTGTTCCCCAGGAGCACTTGTATGTATGGACCGTGCCGTGCCTCAGTTTCCCCTCCCCACGGTCACACCAAGATCTAGGTAGGCTGTTGAGTGAGGTCGGGATGGCTCTACAGAGGCTGGAAAGGGGCAACCAGCACCCCTGCACCTGGGAGCCCTAAATCACCCCAAAAGCACACCCTGCACGGGGATGGGCAGGGCAAGGGACAGCGGGGATGGCCGCGGTGGGGCTGGGGACGGGGAGCAGCCCCGATCGCCCCTCGCTCACCCCTGCCTGTCTTCTTCTCGGAGAACACAAGGTACGACCAGATCCACCTGGTCCCGGCGGACCCCCCCGAAGCCTGCGGAGAGCTGAATAATGGCGTCTTCATCCAGGACCAGATTGCCTTGGTGGAGAGGGGGTACGTCTGGCGTCACGGGAGCTGTTTGGGGGGGACCCTCGGGCAAGAGGGGAGCTGCCCGTGGCACGGAGGGTGACAGTGCCGTGGCCACATTTTACCATCACCTCCGGCTTCTTGCCTTGACTTACCGCAGGTGGGTATACGAGGGAAACGTGAGGGTGCTCTTACCCCAGAGCGTTTCACGTTGTGTCTGCGCCGAGTTGGAAAAAGCCCTATTTTATTTTATTTTTTCTTAGGAGAAAGCGGCAGAGCGTGGGCAGCCTGTGCCTAAAATACAGACTCAAAGAGGAGCAGGGTTTGGGGGAGGCGGGGGGCCAGGGAGACAGTCCCTGGTTTGGACATTTCCAGGCAGTCTCTGGCACTTGCAGGTTTCGTACCTGCCAAGGGATCTGCCTGCGGCCCCCGAAGATTTGTCACTCTCTGCCCCAGGGGTTGCTCATTCCTGTCGAAGACGCGTGTGATCCAGGAGCATGGCGGGCGGGCAGTGATCATCGCAGATAACGCCTACGATAACGACAGCTTCTACATCGAGATGATCCAGGACAGCACCAGGCGGACAGCCGACATCCCCGCGCTCTTCCTGCTGGGCAGGGACGGGTAGGTGCCTTGGCCGACAGACATCTCGTCTTCCCAAGTGTGGAACATCTCACGGGAAGGGCCAAGCGACAGCCTTGTCCCCACAAAAAGGGGGAGGTCCCAGTGATCGGCATGTCCCACCTGGGCGTGGTGAACCAGATTTTTAGTGGATGCAGTCGTAATTAATCTGCAGAGTTTCTCTGTGAGCCGGTTTGTGGTTTACGCTCACGTCTGGGCTCTACTCTCCCAACTCCGGCCGCTCAGGCGTGCCCGTCACCTCTTTATTCTTCCAGGTACATGATCAGACGCTCCCTGGAGCAGCACGGGCTCCCCTGGGCCATCATCTCTATTCCCGTCAACGTCACCAGCATCCCCACGTACGAAATGATGCAGCCCCCCTGGACCTTCTGGTAGCAGCGGGAGGCTGCGGCGGATCGAGGACTTCTCGGTGGATCCCAGGAGCTTGCCCCAGGGACCAGGTTTGAGCGAAGGGTCCCAAAGCGCCCCAGGGATCCCACCGCCCAGCCTCGCCGGATTCAGCAACAAGGAGATCTTTTCTGCTGCCGCCGGCACGTGGCTGAAGGGCAAACACCAGCACCCGCAGTGGGAACCTTGAGCCTGGTACCGAGCACCCTTTGTAGTGACTTTCTGGGAGGGAGGTGATGGCCCAGAGCAGGCCAGCACTTCCCCGAGAAACATCTTAACAATGTGTAAGATGCCACCAGTAATTTGTGCTGCTGATTTAGAGGGATGCAGGACTACGTGGATGAGGTCTGACAGGGATGGGAGGGAGAGCGAGATGCAGACTCACAGTGGTCTGTACTAGCAGGGCTTGCCCAACATCTGTATTTTTGTCTGAGGTAATGAAGTCTGTAAAAGTTTTAGAGAAAGGGGAGTTTCTCTTTTTTCATCAGCCAGGGGATGAAGGAACAAATCTTATCCCGCCCCGACGGCATTTTTCCTAGTAAACTTCCCCAGGTGCCCTCTGCAGCTGGGGCAGGGCTCACGTCAGAGCCCCCCGCAGCACGGATCAGTCATGCACCAGGGCAGAAACAGCCTCACGGGGCAGCATTGCCTCCCGCACCCGTCCCCAGGGGCGGGCTGGTCGCAGACCCACAGCCCAGACCCCGGCGGGTTTCTATTCCCTCATCCCCAGAGCTCCGTGCCCCCCCCGGGACCAGCCTCTGGATCGCAGCCCTTGTCTCTGCACTCACCACCCTCCAGTTTACCAGCACAAACGACACGGCCCCGCTTCTCACCAGTCTCGGTTTATTACGAACACTGAAGGGGACACGGCCCCGGGACAGCTGGGGACAAGCAGAGAGGTGCAGGGCTGGCGGTGATGGTTGTGTCAGAGGTGCCCATCTACTGCATCGCCCTCGGTCCCAAAGAAAGCGGCAGCAGGAAAACGGCTCCCCAAAATCCAAGAGGGGAGGAAAATACCCCGGGCGCATCCCCAACCTGCTGCCTGTCCGTTGCCTGGAGCCGTCTTTTCCCTCCGGCCGCGTGGTCCGCAGACAGGGACACCGCACACAGCGGTGTGGCCTCATCAGTGGCTGGCAGCATGGCATGGATGACACGCTCAGCTGCCGGTGATGTCTCCACGCGGGGCCACTCGGTGCAGGGAACCA